TCCCACTGGAAATGGTGTAAAACTTCTGAGTCCTGGTAGATGGTGGTTGATGTGTCAGGACTGGCTGAGCACAGAGGCCACGGGCAGTCTGTGCACCTCAGCAGCTCTTTGGCAACACAGCACCTAAGGGCAGTGTGCTCTTCCTAGATCCCATTGTGAAAGACCAGGCTCGGATGGGCTCGTCCAACATGCCGGGTGGCAGCACTCCTGTCAGCAGTGCGAGCATGATGTCAGGTCAGTCCTGCTCTCAGCTCTTCTTGGTGACTGGTGTGGTAAAGAGGCATTTGTGTGTGCTGGGTGGGTGTGAGGATCCAGGAGGGTGAGTTCTGCAGGTGGGGCATCGGGTCATCCCCTGGGACTGGAGACAAGGGCAAGGAAGGCTGCAAAGAAGTGGGTGGGAGAGCAAGATAAATAAGGCCTCGGGCAGCCTGACCTGCTTTTCTGGTCTCGTTTTAAAAAGTGCTTTGCAGTTGGATTTTCTGGCAGCAGTTTGAAGGACAGTGCACTGGAACAGGCTGCCCAGAGAAGCTGTGGCTGTCCCATCCCTCGGAAGTGTTCAAGGCCAGGTTGGATGGGGCTTGGAGCAACCTTGTGTGTCCCTGCCCATGACAGGGGATTGACACAAGATGAGCTTTAAGGTCACTTCCAACCCAAACCATTCTGGGATCCTGCCACTCTTCTGCCCATTAGTGACTCTTCAGTCAGCCCTTCTCAGAGGCCACAGAGAACTGTGACAGACCTTTAATCTCAGCTTACCTTGGCAGCTCTGAAAACATAACTGACCTGCAAAGCTACCACTTGGTTTCAGAAGCTGAGCTGTCCTGGGTGGCGACGCGCTGCTTTCACTCTAATTCCTGCTCCCCTGTCTCTCTTCCAGGGATTTCTTCAGTGCCAACACCTTCACCCCTTGGACCTCTAGCAGGCTCACCCGTCATCTCTGCCACCACCACCCTGGGGATGCCGGTTCCAGCTGCTGCAGGCGCCCAGCAGTAGTGACGGGCTCTGTCTCCTGCTGCCTGAGCTGAGTCAGGTGGGGAAGAGGTTTCCCCCTCCACCTCTCCTCAGGACGCAGCTCGTGCCTGGCAGGGGAAGGGAGGGGATGAACGCTTTGGAGACACCGTGTCTGAACTGTTGCTTGTGGATTTATAGTAGTTCAGTCATTATATACAAAATTATTATAGGCTGATTTTTCTTTTTTTACTTGAACTTTTCGTAACTCAGGGGATTCCCTGAAAATACCTACAGATGGAATATTTCTTGGACAGTTTTTCTTCCCCACCCCACCCCACCCCTCCCAAAAAAAAAGAAAAAAGTACTCTTCATTTAATAACAAATGAATCAACAGCATTTCCAAGCTCTTGCATCCTGCTGGAAATCTCTTCTCTTCACGTTCCCACCATTATTCCTCCATGAGCCTACACCTTGGGGGATTGTGCTCTTCTCCAGAGTCTACCAAACCAAGTCTTCGTGAGGCAGGGGAGGGGGATTCTTAAAGTACCACTCACTTTAACCCCGTGTCCTGCATATGTCCCAGCCAGGGTACACTGAGGAGACAATTCCAGTAGGGAGAGGTGGGATAAGCTTAAAAGGAATAAGTGCAGATAATGTCCAAAACCCTAATTGGATTGGATAATGTCTCCTTAGGAGCCAACCAGAATGCCAACTCACCCCTTGCATGTAATTTTAGTCTTAAAAATGAGGTTACTGATCCAATTGGAGTCTTTGCCACCTCCTGAGACAGGTGCTCCTGTAGAGTAAAGCCCTACTCTGATCAGCCCCTTTCTCACAGGAGGGTTCTTCCTGCCGTTGCTTGGGTTGGATCTCTGGAATTAGTTTGTTATTGGGTATATTGTTTTTAAATTGTTTCTATAGGTTTCGAGCTGGTGGCTACTTAAAGCTGGAAAAAAAAAAAAAATCAGACTGCGCCAAGTCCGATCCCACATCTTCACCCACCATCCCCTCCCTCACGTGCCATGTGGTGAGAATACCAGTTACCTCACAGTCTTGTAAATATGCACTGAGAGGAAGGAGCAAGCAGACGTTAACTTAAACTGAAATGGTAGATCAGTAATTGTGGACAAATATTATCATTGACAACGGAAAAAGCACCCTTGTTACAGCCCTGCTACCCCTTGCTGTGTATATATACTTTGTCCTTCATATGTGAAAGATCCAGTGTTGGAATTCTTTGGTGTAAATAAACATTTGGTTTTATTTATCGAGGTTAGATTTAAGTTCCCTGTGTAGAGGCCTCCCTGGGTGGTGGTGCACTGACACAGGAGTGGTGACAGCCACTGTCCCTGTCACACACAGGGGGAGCAGCACAGAGGAGCCTCACACAGATGTCACAAGCCAAAGTATCTCCTGGGAGAAGGATCTTTTGCCATAAAACCAGAAAAGCCTCCTCTTCTGTCTCACCCCTGATGGTGGGGCATTGAGATGATGAACCAGTTTTTTTGAGTGTGTTGCCATTCACTGGATTTCAGTGAGTTTGTTTTCAGTCACCTGATGTTTGTGGGACTCAGTTGGCGAGGCTGTAGGGGCAGTGTCACCAGTCATTCTGGGTGACCTCCCATCCCAAAGCCATTGCAGCAGTTGTTACCCTGGGCATTGGCAGCTCTTCCCAGTCCTCAGCACGTGCTGATGCCTTGGCTTGTGTCTTGCTTGTCCCCAGCACCTGTCCCTCCTCTGTTCTTTGGGAGTCATGACCACACACTTCCACATTGCTCAGTTAATTTTAGGATGGAACATGTGGGCTGGATTAAACCGACTCCTGGGACATAAAACACAGCCCCCTTCTGTGAGGATTGCTGGCAGGGACACGAGGTACACCAGGGTAGCTTTCTCCTCCGTAACGCCATCCAGTGGAAATACATTGTACTCAAGTCTTTTATATCCTAAAATTATGTGAAAGTTGGACCATGTTGACTGTTACCTCAATGTGCTGTAACATAAAAGCACCACGTATGACAAAATACAGCTTGTTTGTGCCAGGTTGTGACCTGCACAGGACATTTAACCAAGTGCTTCTGTTATTCCAAGCGAGGGAGGTTTGCACCAGGATGAGGCGGATGGAAGAGGAGACTGCAAGGGGATGATGCTCCCCAAGGCCTGTCAGCCCTGGCACATGGAAGCTTGTGTGTGGAATGAGCTTTCTGGGTGTGACAAGCCCTTACACGAAGTGCCAGGAGTGCTCCCACGCTGCCGGTGCCCCGAGGGAATTCAGGGGGGTTACAGGTATTTTTGATGGGGCAGCAGCAGCCCCTGGGTGCCGCACCACTGTGGCTGTGTTACGCACCCGGGACAACGCTGGGAATTCATCCGTTCCGGGGGCATTTCGGGGTGTTTTTTTTCCTTTGTTTCTCCGTTTTGTTTCTTCCTCGTTTCTGTTTCGAACAATCCCCGGACGCGCCGCGTGCGGGCACGTGCAGGCTGCGCCCTCCCTTCCGCGCATGCGCGGCCACCCCTCCGCCCCGCGCGACCCGCCTGGAGGCGCCGCGCCTGCGCAGT